ATATAAAAGATTAATTATTTCGGATTTACAATTAAGCTAGAATGCATTAAGCTATAGAAAGATAAGATAGAAGCTATTAGAAATTAGCTAGTTCCTAGGAATATTAGAAATATTAGGTTTTTTCTCGAATATATCAACTTCTATAAGCAGTTTATTAAGAATTACAGCTGAATTGCATATCTTTTTACAAATCTTATTAAAAAGAAGCAGCTCTTTGAATGAATCTCTAAGGCATAAGAAGCTTTTAATGAAATTATCAAGTATATTATCTCAGAGCTAGTTCTATATAAAGCAAATCTCTATAAACTCTTTAAAATTGAGATTAATATATTAGAATATGCATTCAGAGAATAACTTAGTTAGCAAGATAATCAAGAACGTTTAAGAATTATAAGCAACTTCTCAAAGAAGTTGAATAGCTTGAAAATCAACTATAGAATCTCTAATCAGAAACTTATAGCAATAATGAAAGCTTTCGAGAAGTAGCAATACTATTTTATTAGTATATAATATTTGATTATAGTTTACTCGGATTATAAGAATCTAACTATGTTTATAATAATCAAGATTTTGAATAAGCAATAAGTTAGATAAGTAGAATTTCTCTTATAATTCGATTTCAAGATTATGTATTGCAAAAGCTTGGAGAACAAATAAGTAGATGCTCTTAGCAGAAGATCAGACTATTGAGATGCAGACTCTTCGGATATATAGAATATTTTTGCTCAAAATGAATCAGAAAATCTTATTAATATATATAGAGAACTAAATACTGCTCTCAGAATAGGATCTTTGGAAAAAGATTCAGAATTAATAACTTTAGATGAATAAGATAACTATATTAAGAATATATATAGTATATCAGCATATGAATATCAGAGAGTTAAAGCAATCTATAAATATATTAAAAGATATTAAAATCTATTAGACTTTAGGAGAAGAATTGAGAATATTCTATAATAATGCAATAGCTGCAAAAAGAATAAAGCAGAAAGATATAAGCTTTATGAACTACTGTACTCCTTATTAGTATCTATGATTATTTAGCAATTCATTAGTTTAAACTTTATTATCAAGCTATTTCTTTCATAAGAACTCTTAATTAAGATGCAATATAATAATATTCTAGTAGTAATTTGTAGACTAAGTAAATATGCTTATTTTCTTTTCTATAAGAAAAGCAGTATAGCAGAGAAATTCGCATATATATTCTTCAGAATGATTATTGCTAATCATAGCATGCTAGAGAAAGTAATCTCTAATAGAGATAGAAAGTTTAATTCGAAGTTTTAAACTTTGCTTATAAAACAGCTTGAAATATATTACAGAATATTCATAGCATTTTACTTATAAATAGATAAATAGATGGAAAGAATGAATCAAATTATTAAACAATATCTATAATACTATATTAATTAGAAACAGAATAACTAAGTTAATCTATTACTTCTTATATAATTCGCTTATAATAGCGCAGATATGAATATAATAAAGAAATCGCTATTCTTTATACTTTATAGATATAATTCAACAGCTTATTATAAAGTATTGCTAAGAGCAGATGCAGAAGCTGCAAACAAAAGAATTAAGAAGATTAAGAAAGTTTAGAAAGAATTCTAATCAGAATTACAATTCATTCAGAAATAAATAGCATATTATGCAAACTCCAAAAGAATTAAAGAATTAATTCTATAGAAGAAAAATAAAGTTTATTTACTTCGGAAAAATATCAAAATAATCAAGCTTAGCAATAAATTTGATTATAAAAAACTGAAATCCTTCAAAATCTTACAACAAATCTTCCTAATTAATTATAAATTAGCATTATCTTATAGAATGAGAATATATCCAGTTTTCCATATTTCATTGCTAGAACTAGCAGCATAAGAAATACTAATAAATAATATAGCAGAAGTGGAAAACAATAAATTAGAATATAAGATAGAGAAGATCTTCAAGCATAAAAGTATAGATAATACAAGGGAATATCTTATCAAATGAAAAGATTATTTAGCAAGCGAAAATTCTTAGGAACTGCAGAAAAACATTAAAAATACTTAGGAAAAGATAGCTGAATATTGGAAAAGGAAAACCAGCATCTAAGACAATCGCTCCATCCCGAATCGAGATTCAGAAGCTTCAGGAATCTTACTTTTCAGAAAGCTCAATCAATCTACTATAGAACCTTCCAAATTCACAGAATTCCAATCAAAACCTTCAAAGAAAGAATCCTCAGCTATAACAACAGATTCCTCTGCTACTACAGCCTGCACTTCAGCAGCAATATGCATCCTCTCAGCCTTAGCTTTTTCAGCTTCCATACAATTCAATTCTTCTATACAAGTAATATTACAATGCAGAGTACATTTCATCTTCTCAAACTATATCTACTTCTATTAGTGCAAACAAAAAAGCTTAATCTCTTTTTTCTTAATCTTATTCTCTAACTTTCGATATTGAATAGTAATATTGCAAAGCTTTTCAGAGGAAGAGCTTATAATATCATACTTGAAGCAGCTTAATCGAATACATTCGATGCAATGAGAAGAATCTCCGGAAAACACCTTGCAGAATCCGAAACTATAATCCTTACAATAGGAATAAACAGGTATTTCAATAAAATTTTCCAAGAAGCAGGAAATTAAGAGATTTCAATCTTGAATACTCTTTGGAACGAAAGAAGATTTGCAAATACAGAATTTGTTGATTCTATTTGATATTTCAATTAGGAAAGCAAGATCATGCATATAAAGAACTTACTAGAATACTTATAGAAGATTATTAAGAATAACAACTAATAGAAAGGAAATGATATTATAATTCATTCAATATACAGATTACAGGATAAGCTCTACTAACTAAGAAACTAAGTATTACAATTCAACATTAGATACTAATCAGAATTATATAACTCGGATTAGAATTGCTAGCGCAACTATATTAACTATGAATATAATCAATATATTCGGAGCAATAATTATGAGAAATCATAATATAATCAGATTAATTAGAACTGAAGAGCTGAATATATAAGAACATATTCATTATCATTAGATAGATTCAGTATATAGCTCTTCAGTTGTTAATCTAAGTATCAGATTACTCTCTACTCTGATAGCTTCAAAGGCAGTGAATACTTGCATTGCTTACTGAGACTTGTACGATTCCGTATTCAAGAACTTAGCACTTTAATACCACTCTTATTAGCATAAACCCCCTTTGTATACTTTGGAATCTTCGGATTACTGCAGTGCTCATTATATTATAACTCATTCAACATGCAGGTCACAGAACGAGCTCGCTAAACAAGGAATCAGGTATCACAACCCAACATCGGATAACTAATAGTGATTATATAATCCAGAGCAAGGATTACAACAGAGATAGATTATTGAATCATTAGATAATCTAATAAGCCTGGATTACTTAGATTGCTAATAATCTAAGATAAGCTACAATGAAGAGCTGAATATATAAGAATACATTCATTACTATTAGATAGATTATTATATATAGCTCTTCAGTTATTAATCTAAGTATTAGATTATTCTCCTATTCTAATAGCTTCAAAAGTAGTGAATACTTGTATAGTTATCTCAGTTGTATTTCTATATTCAAAGCTTATACTTAGCATTGCTCTTATTAGCATAAACTCTTTATATACTTTGAAATCTCCGGATTACTGCAGTGCTTATTATATTTTAATAATTCTTATTCAAGAATAGTTTAGTATTACCCCTTAAGCAATATGGAATACAATAGCTTCTTAAGGATTCTCTTCATCCTTATATACTTCTACTTAGGAAGAACTAATCAACTAGATATATCAGCTTATTCAGCATATTCAGAATCTGTATAATTAGCAGCAGTGTTATAACTCATCCAACATGCAGGTCACGGAACAGGTCACAAGTAACAAGGATCAGATGTTAAGAACTCAACGTTCTAACAAAACATTGATTACATAACTCAGAGTTAGGGTTATAGGCATAGCCAATCAGGAAGGATAGCTTGGGATATGTGCTATTCAGAGCTAGCAGGATAACTTGAATATGTTTGTTATGAACCAACACCACCAGCACTGAATAGGTCGCAAGAGTAAGCCGATAGGAATCAGCGGAGCTGGGATACGTTATGGAAAACCAACCAAGATTATATAAGCAAGGGTTAGGGTTATAAAGGAGGGAGAACTGGTGGGATCGCTACCGATCCAAGCGAGCTTCACACTATGAATCGTTAGGCCTGCTAACGAGCTGTACTGAAGAACTAAGTATATAAAGGTTCACATTTCCTGCTGTTAGATAGATTTCCTTCAGATAGTTCTTCAGTTGTCAATCTAAGTATTCAGTCTTATACACTAAGTAGCTCCAAAAGCAGTAAATACTTGCATCGCTTATTAAGACTTGTACAGTTCCGTATTCAAGAACTTAATACTTCAATACCGCTCTTGTTAGCATAAATCCCTTCATATACTTAGAAATCTTTGGATTGCTACAGTATTTATTACATTTTGATAATTCTTATTTAAGAATAGTTTAGTATTATTCTCTTGAGCAATACGGAATACGATAGCTTCTCTAGGAATCTCTTCGTTCTCGTGCGCTTCTATTCAGAAAGAACTGATTAATTAGATATACTAGCTTATTCAGTATATTCAGAATCTATACAAACAATAGCAAGCTTAGAGCGCTACTATTGCTAACTAATAAGCTTAGCTAGCTTAATAAGCTCAGTAGATGCAGTTTATCTTTATAATTATCAGTAGCGCTGAAAAAGCATATAAGATGAATAAGCTTGCTATATATAATAGCAATCAAAAAATGCTATATAAATTTCTTATTTACTGCAGAGCATATTTCCTGCATTACAAGACTTAGTTTACTAAGAAATCTAAGAAAGTTATTCTTATAGAAACTTGTTTCAAAAAGAATGCTTTTATCTAATACAAGCCTTCTCTATACAACTATTTGAAGCATCAGAATAATTCCGATGCATATATCCAGAGTACTAAGAATATATTTAATTCTTTTAAGAGCTTCGAGAAAGCTCTTAAGGAAACCTTTGAAGATCCTAACAAAGAATGTATTATAGCTCAGCAGCTTATGAATCTCAAGCAAACTAAATCAGCTTCTGCTTATATAATCAGATTTAAATAACTCTTAGTACAACTTCTATAGAAAGATAAGAATCTTATAAAGTATTATTATAAGGAATTTAAGAATAATATTAAAGATGAAATTTCCAAGCAGAATTAGCTGAAGAACTTTGCAATATTCTCTAATTAAGCTATCTATATTAATAATTATCTGTATAAATAATAGATAAAGAAGTTTAAGAAGAAAGAAAGCTAAACTTGGAAGTTTCTAGCTAATATAGATAAGAAACTTCAATACAAGAATAGCAGATAATAGGATAGTATAGCTTAGAGCAGTACTATGCATGCTAGTCTCATAGAACTTAATACAGCTAATAAGCAGTATAGTAAGAAGAATAGTATTACTTGCTATAACTGTAATAAATAAGAATATATAGCATACAACTGCTATCAATTCCAGAAAAACAAATAGCAACTAGTTTAGAAAGAATATTAGATAAATATTGCTTAATAATAGAAACTCAATTAACTAAGCAAAAATATCCTCTTGAAGTAAATATTGAACTCTATTGATTACAGAAGTCTTAGCTGAATATTCTGCTACAATAATAACTGCTTAATATACTTCTTGAGTAAGAAAGAATTAGAATGATTCCTTCAGAAGCCTTAGCGCTGCAAACAAATAGCAATAGCAGAGTAAGAGTGCATATTCAGCATCTCTATGAGTAGCAATTTGAACTACTCTAGCATTGCAGAATAAAGCATTCAAACATTAAAAGAAGGATTTAGCAACGATATCCTTCAATATTCTTCATTATTTATACTAAGCACTATAATTAGGAATATGAATAAGAAATAATACTCTCTTAGCTACTGATACAAATATCTAAGCAATATAGAAAACGCTTCTTAAGCAATAGAAGAATCAAGCTAGAGCAAATAATCTAGCAGCCTGTAGAAGCTCTCTGCAAATAATATGCTTAACAAGCTTAAAGAAAGATTTCCCTTTAGCATTGGATAGAATAAGGAAATAACATGAATCGAATATCTCGTTTACAGAATAGAGCTGGAAAAGCTTTTTATCTGCATCCTCTTGCAGAACATCGAAGCATGAGGAGATAAGAATCCTCGAATCAGCTTACTTCACAATCTATATTACGAACTAGCATGAATCTTCTGCAGCTATCATAGCTGCAGAACGCATTTTTCAGAAAAGATATAATATGAATAATTCTTTATCAGAGAACTAGAATAAATTCTTTAAGCTGTAGAGAAACAAAAGCTGCACTTCAGAGAAGTTCTTAATAGATAGCACTATAATACATATATCGAACTACCAGATAACTGCTTCATACAATACATAAATAAGAAAATAAAATAGTAGCAATACAAGATGATATTCTGCATAATTCATATCAATAATAAAGCTTGCAACTAGCATTAATAGAAGAAAAACTAGGAATAATAATAATATAAGTAAAAGCAAGCTAAGAAGCTTGCTTAAGAAGCAGCAAAGCAGGCTCAGAAGAATAAGCAGTTCTTAATAGATTCAAAAGAACAGGATTGCTTATAAAAGAATTGCAGATAATCAGATTAGAATAGTTCCTATGTAAAGCTTTCAAAGCAAACTATGCTTACATTAAGTTCAATATATACATTCAAGAATACAAATATAATACACTATTGAATAGTAATACTTAGGAAAACTTTATATTCTTATACATTATTAATCAGATATAACTATAATAAAGATAGAAAAGATACTTATATACTCTCAGCACTATAAAAGAATAATCTGTTATATATAACTAAGAAATAATTAATAAGAAAACTAATTATTTATCTATCTTAATCTAAGAATATATAATCAGAGCTTCCTTTAATATCATGAATATAGTATAATATGAACTAATTATAGAACTTTTATAGCTTAAAGAGCACAATTCTCGAATCGATTGAATTACTAGCTAGATCTTATAAGAACAAGCTATATCCAGAGAGATAGTTACAATCAATAATGCAGAATCGAAGCTAGTTATTGAAAAATACTCGGAAAAAGAAGCTTTAAACAACTTCATATACATCTCCAAGTTAGCAGAGCTAGCAGTTCAAGAAGAAGAATCTAGTAATAAGCAAACTCAAACAGTGCTAGAATGCTAATAGATTAGCAAAACAATAGAAGCGAAACTCTTAGCAAGTTGGTTCGCTCTGAAGCAGCAAGGAAAAGCTTTAGAATATAAATTGTAGAACTATACAAGAAAAACCTCGAAATTAAGCTTTCAAGCGCTCAGTTCAGCCCGAAGCAAATGCTTAAAGCTTTCAAAAACGCTATTAGAAAAGAAGCATGCTTAACAGTATCTACTATTCCTTCAGATAGCAGAAATAGTATAAGAATTAAAACTAATACTTGCAAATATACTATGAGAATATTATAAGTTTAAGAAACTATTTCAGAAAGAATTGAATACGGAATTGCTGGAATACAGCTTATATAATTACAAAATCCTGCTATAAAAAGAAAAACAATTCAAATTCTTCTCTATTTATAAACTAGATAAAGCATAGCTAGAAATACTTAGAAAGTATTTTAATAAGAATCTTAAGAAAGAATATATATAATTATTGCAATTATTAGCAGAATATTCCATCCTATTTATACTTAAGAAAAATAATAAGCTCAAGCTATATATTAACTATAAGCAATTTAATAATATTACAATTAAGAACTAATATTCGTTACTACTTATTAAGAAACTATAAAATAGATTACAAGAAGTATAGTAATTTATAATTCTGAATCTAAAAAAAGCTTATAATCTGATTAGAATAAAGAAAAAAGAAGAATGAAAAACTGCTTTCAGAATATGCTATAAATATTACAAATATTTGATTATGCTTTTTAATCTAATAAATACTTTAGCTTTATTTCAGAAAATAATCAATTATATTCTATATAAGTATCTGAATCAGTTTATTATTGCTTATCTCAATATTATTCTTATCTATTCTCGAATACTAGAAGAATATAAGAAATATATGAAAATAGTATTGCAAATGCTTCAAAATGCAAAACTTCTTATAAAATCCGCAAAGAGTTACTTTTACATACAAAAGATCAACTATCTCAGATTTACAATCAAGCTAAGATGCATTAAGCTACAGAAAAACAAGATAAAAGCTGTTAGAAATTAGCTAGTTTTTAGAAATATTAGAGATATTAAATCTTTTCTCAAATACATCAACTTCTATAAGCAGTTCATTAAGAACTACAGCTGGATTGTATATTCTCTTACAAATCTCATCAAAAAGAAACAGCTCTTCAAATAAACTCTTAAAGCATAAGAAGCTTTTAATAAGATTATTAAGCATATTACCTTAAAGCTAATTCTGTATAAAGCAGATTCTTATAAACTCTTTAAAATTAAGATTAATATATTAGAATATGCATTCAAAAAACAACTTAGCTAGCAAAACAACTAAGAGCATTTAAGGATTATAAGCAACTTCTTAAAGAAGTTAAATAGCTTGAAAATCAACTATAAAATCCCTAATCAGAAACTTATAGCAATAATAAAAGCTTTTAAAAAGTAGCAATATTATTTTATTAGCATATAATATCTGATTATAATTCACTCGAATTATAAGAATCTGATTATATTTATAATAACTAAGATTTTGAATAAATAATAAATTAGATAAGCAGAATTCCTCTTACAGTTCAACTTCAAGATTGTATACTGCAAAAGCTTGAAGAATGAATAAGCAGATGCTCTCAGCAGAAAATCAGACTATTGAGATGCAGATTCTTCGAATATATAGAACATCTTTATTCAAGATAAATCAGGAAATCTTATCAATATATACAGAGAACTGAATGCTGCTCTTAGAATAGAATTCTTGAAAAAGAATTCAGAATTAATAACTCCAAATAAACAAAACAATTATATTAAGAATATATACAGTATATTAGCATATAAATACTAAGAAGTTAGGGCAATCTATGAATATATTAAAAGATACTGAAATCTATTAAATCTTAGAAAAAGAATTGAGAATATCTTATAACAATACAATAGCTATAAGAAGAATAAAGCAGAAAGATATAAGCTTTACAAACTACTGCACTTCCTATTAATACTTATAACTATCTAGCAATTTATTAATCTAAACTTTATTATTAAGCTATCTTTCTTATAAGAATCCTTAACTAAGATATAATATAATAATATTCTAATAGTAATTTGCAAATTAAGCAAGTATGCTTATTTTCTCTCTTATAAGAAAAGCAGTATAGCAGAGAAACTTGTATATGCATTTCTTAGAATGATTATTGCTAATTACAGCATACTAGAGAAAGTAATTTCTAATAGAGATAGAAAGTTTAACTCAAAGTTTTAAACTTTGCTTATAAAACAGCTTGAAATATATTACAGAATATCTACAGCATTTTATCTATAAACAGATAAATAAATAAAAAGAATGAATCAAGTTATTAAACAATACTTACAATATTATATCAATCAGAAATAGAATAACTGAGTTAATCTATTACTTCTTATATAATTTGCTTATAATAATACAAATATAAGCATAATAAAGAAATTGCTATTCTTTATATTCTATAAATATAATCTAACAGCTTATTACAAAGCACTGCTGAAAGCAAATACAGAAGCTACAGATAAAAGAGTTAAGAAGATTAAGAAAGTTCAGAAAGAACTCTAATTAGAATTATAATTTATCTAGGAACGAATAGCATATTATACAAACTCCAAAAGAATTAAGAAATCAATTCTATAAAAAAGAGATAAGGCTTACCTACTTCGAAAAAACATTAAAATAACCAAACTCAGCAATAAACTCAATTACAAAAAGTTGAAATCATTCAAAATCTTATAACAAATCTCCTCAGTTAATTATAAGTTAGCATTATTCCATGGAATGAAGATATATCCAGTTTTTCATATCTTACTGCTAGAACTAGCAGCACAGAAAATACTAATAAATAATACAGCAGAAGTAAAGAATAATGAATCAGAATATAAGATAGAAAAGATTCTC